CCCCCCCGGTATCCCTTGGATAGGAGGCTGGGTGGGCCCTGGAACTGGTCTGGATGACATGGTGAAGAGAAAATTCTAGACCCTACCAGGTCTTGAACCCTGACCTCTCTGTCGTTCAACCAGTCGCTATACTGACTGTGCTATCCTGGATGTTATAATATACATATATATTAAAAATATATCAATCAAAATGCAGTTGACACCCAAATATTTGTAAGACAAGCAAGAGCTTACTTGCTCTCTGCGTCATGCTGGTTTCTTGCTTCACATACTTTTCAACCCCAAAGATGTAGGTGACATGTTCCCATGAAACATCAGTTTATTTTTACAGACTCTGCAGTGTGATAACCCAGAAGATAGAGCTCTTCATAACCACCTATGTGAGAGCCTCAAATTCTATAAATTAAGTGCTGTTTGGTGTCAGTCATCATTAAAACTGGTTCTTGGCATGTTAAGTTCAAAGTGACAGATCATAGTATTGGGCAAAACAATATCATTATTTCCCATAAATGGATAGATGTCAGTTCAGAGATTATATTCTACAAATAACGTATGCAATGATAGTCTTTTAAGATCACAGGGACCAGGCTTTTGCTTAAAGGGAATGTGTGTTTGATGCAAGTGTAGAAGAGTAATGTAATATGCCAATTTTGTGCATGTGCATTACTTACATTCACTTGTGTTGAAATAATTTCATACTGAATGCAAGAAAAAGCCCAACAGTGAAACTGATAAGAGAATATGAAATCAGACACTGTGTACAACCACTTTGTTTTGGTTTTCATGATAGCAGTTGCTGCTGGACAGATGATTCCATAGTTGAGAGCTGTTAAAAGTTTGTAGTAATCAAGCTGTGGGTTTGCATGTTAATTTGAAGCATGCGAAACATTTCATTCCAAATAAATGGAAGAAATGTGGAATCTGAATTTCAGAAAGCACAATTAATATATCGTTATTAGTTTGATCAGTTAATGGACTGTTTAATGCAAATGTCAGTAATTGATTTATAATTGTGAATATGTGCACCATACCTTATGTCCTTATGTGTTCACAGCTTTGTGCTACTATATGAACTTTGTTCTATGTGGATATAGGTTTGCCCATGTGAATTCTTTTGTGGAAGTTGGCTATTTAGGTTCCTAAGAAGTCACAGGACAGGAAGTATGTTTGAACTGAAATTTCATATAGTGAAACTTAAATACTTAGGTTTAGAGTTCAAATTTCAGATGGACATACATCTTTATTACAGAGAGGCTTTGAAATTTAGCATTCTTATGAAGTATAATGACATACACAAATTGTCTTAACTTTTTACCCCTTCAAACATATGAAAATTATGATTATGTGTCAACTTTCAAGTATTGTTAATACACAAAAATATATCCCTAAATTTTACAATTAATAATTTGTCATTTTAGTGTGTCACTATGGAGATGAAATTACTCACAGGATTTGATTTGTTTCATTCTGGTCCGTCACACTAACAATTACAAATATAAATCACTCTGTCCAATGTGACCTGTAAGTTTATTACTACATGAAAACTTAACACCCTTACATCTAACGTCTAAACAACTTATGTGATGGTGGTTTCCTATTTGTAGTGATGTTTGCCCTCTGAAGATGGTCCACAGAGACTGAAACATGTAAGGGTGTTAAGTTTTCATGTAGTAATAAACTTACAGGTCACATTGGATGGAGCGATTTATATTTGTACTCACAGGATAGTAGGCACCATAATAGCTTCATAGAACTAATAATCTGAGGCATTGCAATTGTCAATTTGTTGTTATAGTCCCATGTCAGTGTTATTTTGCCTGTTATTTAACTTATAAATTGTGTCTTTCCAACATGTAATTCAAATTAAACACATGCTTTCACATCTGTAAATGTGTGTATGTTTATGTGATTTCCCTGCAAAATTTGGGTAGTTTTGAAGATTAACCTATTAGAGATAGGAACTTGAAATATTGTTTTGTTATATCTCACAACATTTTGTATATATACTGTATGTAATGTTAGGGCATTATTTGTTGAACATCTGAAGAACTTGTGTACATAACATATTTCTGACACAGAAAATGTATCATAGGCAAAGTCAAGTATAAGTTTTCTGATAATTAAGCCATTTACGTTAGAATGTAAGAAGGAATTACAGAAATAAAGGTTCAAAGGAATTGACTGCTAAATAATTGACTCCATCCATTGTGCATCTTCAAGGAAAGACAAAGTAACTGAATTTAGTGTATTTATGTTGTACATAGTATAAATAACTGACTATAAATATAAATAGGAGTATAAATAAAGGATTATTTAATTTAACATGATAATTTAGATATTTCACATCTATTTGTGTTATGTTGATGGTTTCTGCCCACTGTAGACCATGCTATGTGGATCTCCATTTATGTTGCGACTAATAGTATCATCTTTCTTGGAGAGCCATCCTCCTAGCCACTCTTTGTCTTCATGCTGCTGATCGTACACATGTTGATGATGAGCCTGCTCATAGTAGATCACTTTCTGTGGCTCCTTCTTCCTTGTGAGGTCCATGTACAACCGTACCAATCCAACTAGCAGGTGCAGCATTGACAGAGCAAAGAATTTGAGCTGCATGATAGTTCCAAACACTGTAGCAATTGTACTGAATTTGGATTTAAGCAGCATGCCCAGCATCATCAACTTCATCAGCTTGTCCTCCTTCCTCTTCCTCTTTTGGCTTTCTTGAGCTGTGGAATATAGTATAAGAGAGTTCATTAGCAAAGAAAATTTAAATATATTTATAACTTCAAAGAACTTGCTAAATGGTGGAGCTCTGAGCTCAGGCAATGACTTGAAAGCACAGTTCGATTCCTAGCACATGTACTGGCAATTTTTACCTTCCATGCCACCATATCCTAACCAGCTTCTAATATTATGGGTACCGGAGACTTTTTCTTATCAACTAAGACAGCCAGTGTGAAGGTGATCTCACTCTGTGTAGTGCCAGAATCACTATGCAGACTAAGCTGGGCTGACTATAAAAACCAAAACAAGCTAATTCAATAGGCTGAAACTCCATATAAGCTTACTATATAAATAAGATGTAAAAGTTTGTGACGATGGTATATTGCTACAAGTATTATGTTTTTGGACATTATCCATCATCTTATCTATTTTTTAAAAAAACCTTCTTGTTTGTTTTTCAAAACACAACGTTTCAGAGACTGGATTCTGTTCCCATCCTCATGTAAAACCTCAATTGGGTCCAATAGATAGAGCTAGGACGGGGACAGAATCCAGTCTCTGAAACGTTGTGTTTTGAAAAAGAAACAGGATGGCT